TCAGTGCCCATCTATGTAAACAACGTAAGAAGAGGATCCGTATCTCTCAAAACTGAATATCAAACGGGCTAACCTTTAGTAAATAGTACAGGGAGAAAATCCATGTATCTGCTATAAACGCTGGTGCAAATGTCGAACCGTTGGTTGCCCCAGACGGCATCGATTCTTTCTAAGACTTAAATCAATAGTTACCCGCCGACACTGATCTCCGCGTTAGAAGCATTACTCTGGTACGGATATTCCTGTCAATGGCATGGGGAGGGGGGCACAGCTTCTACAGAACCACTGTCATACTCTACAAGCAGAGGTTTGGGTTTTGGCTTATTTTTTGTGTGTTTTCAACGCTTTCTTTTTGTTTTTGCACTGGTATCTTTTATTTTTTACGCCAACCAGTGCAAAAAAGAAAGCCCGATAAAAGGCCTAAAACACGCCAAAAATAATTGAAGACAAAACCCAAACCTCTGCTTGGAGAGTAACCCTCCCCTACATCGGCAGTTTTACAGTTGTTACAGATACAAGTTTTATATCTGTTGTATTGTGATTCTATAAAGCGTTATTGTTTTATATTCGTCATCTTTGCATAGTGCATTTTTCGACATTTTTTGTTTCTATAGCTCGAATGGCACACAAAAACACGCAAACTCTCTTCTTACATACGGATCTCAAATTTCCTCTTAATTCTTTGTGAGATCATAAAAATTCTTATCTCTTACGACAAAGAGGAACTAGCTAAACGTTTTAGCAACAGGATATTCGACAATGGTACTATATATATATGGCGACATTTGACACGACACTGATTAGCAAAAACGGGAACAAATGACCTATTCCCGGTGACCACCGCTGGCTATTCATGCGTTACGGCTAATCAGATATTCAATATAAGATTCAGTCAAGCGTATGACCCCTATCGTGATATTATTGTCATTTCTGTCGATCTAAACACCTTTGAAAAACTAACTATAGTGGTGAAAATTAAGGTACTGACGAAAAATACCCTTCAAATATGTAATGTAGAGACCATTTGAGAAAAAAGGAAACATTAATAGTCATTCTGAGCGTATGACCCCTATCAAGACATTATTGCCGTTTCTGTCGATCTAAACACCTCTGAAAAACTAACAATATAATACAGGCTAGAATTCTATTAATTATGAAAAAAACCTCCTAACATGATGTATACATATCTCTGAGAGGGAGAATGAATGGCTAGCTGCTACATGTTCCCTTTTCTTACTCTCCATGCAGAAGTTGGTAGGGAAGATTGTGACCTTTCTATCATATGCCCAGTTTTAGGTGGGGTGTACCGACAGAAAACGGAGCATATGATAGAAAGGTCACAATTTCCCCCACCAACTTCTGCTTGGAGAGTAAGAAAAGGGAACATGTAGCAGCTAGCCATTCTGTTGTCTCCACCAGACTCCTTTGTAGGCTGGATAAATAGTGGAGATCGGTTTGAAAGGAATGTAACTGGCCAGGGGAGTTAGGCGGTAATAGGGGGTCCGTGCAGGCAAATTGGACACTATATGGTCGGCTAACTCCCCTGGCCAGTTACATTCCTTTTAGGCGGATTTCTACTCTCTATTCAGCCTGCAAAGAAGTCTGGTGTACTAACCATTCTGAGATAAACGGACTGTCAGGTAATAATTTGGTGTACTATCCATTCCTACTGTTGTGCGTTCTTGTCTATGGATGGCTATCATAGACGCTCGATTCAAGCAGATAGATCAGTCGGAGTGAGAGTCGTCTTGAAACTTTATTCTACAAGTACTCCAGATGTTCTCAACTCTAATGTCCCATGATGCTTTGTTCACATATATTATGTAGGCAAGGCCCTTGTGGTGTATAGTACTTTTGCCTGATGGTCTAGGTCATAGTATCTGGTACAATGTATAACATCCCTCTCTTTTCAGATTTGATCTTATTCTGCTGACTAGTCTGATATTATCTCAATCTATATATGAATTGTCCATAGTTCAATGTTCTTGTCCAGCTCTCTTTTTTTTTTTGCTTGGTTTCTACTACTATCTCTCTATCTAGTATATCGTTAGAGGGGTATACATATGTTTCATGCAACTTGTTAAGTTTTAACATGGCTTAGAGGCCTTACATACATTAGTATCATCTTTACAACTATTTTGATGATTGTCTACTCAATATGATTGTTTTGACTTTGGCAAAATGTTCGTTGATCTAGCTTGACAGTTCTGTTTGAGTCTTGGCATTTGTGGTTGGATGGTTGGTCTTGCTAGTGGTCTGTATAAATCTTATATTATTAGTAACAACAACTTTCTACTAAATCTAGAAACATTTCCTAAAGCTAGTGGCACGTCAGAGCGAAGGTGTTGTGCCAGCAGAAACCTTGGGGTTATTCTGCCCAGTGTTTGGTAACTGCTTTCTAACACTATACTAACAGTCTCTTTTCCGCTTTATTCAAGTCCGTTAGCGGTAACGTTTCGGAGGCAGGATGTTGGTTCTGCTCCTCGTTGATTTTGTTGCGCATGGTGTCGTCACCGTTGGTGTTGGTGTCTCGGTTGTTGTTGTTGTTGGTTGTGCAGCTGCCTCGTTGTCAGTTGTCGTGGTTGTTGTTGTCTCTTTCTTTGCTGGAGACGTGGTTGTGGTTGCCTCTGGTGTCGGTCGGATGTGTACTCGGTTTCTCCGCATCTGTTTGCCGGATTCGGTTTCCACAACGTATGATTTTGGTGTGTCGGCTTTTCCGACGATCTGGCCTGGCGTCCAGGTCTTCTTTATGGGCTCTTGTATGTGCACGGTTTGACCTCTGACTAGCTCTGGTAGTCGTTGTGCTTGTCGGTCATACTGCTTCTTGCTCTTTTCTTGTGCTGCCGTTAACTTGCCCATCACTTCTTCTTGGTCTGTAGGAGGGTGTACCTTTGTTGGTAGTCTGGTCTTGTATCTTCTTCCATTGAGCAGTTCTGCTGGCGATTTTGTGTCTGTTCTCAGTGGTGTTGTACGCAGTGTTAGGAGTGCCAGGTTTGGGTCTTCTCCTGTCTCTAGACTCTTGGTGAGGGTCTTCTTTACCGTTTGTACATGCCTCTCTATTAATCCATGTCCCTTTGGGTAGTAGGGTGAGGAGGTGGTTATTCTGAACCCGTACTCTTCAGCTGCTTGTCGGAACTCTTGAGAGGTGAATTGTGTTCCATTGTCGCATATCACTTCGTCAGGTATTCCTTGTTCTGCGAAGATCCCCTTGAAAGCTTGTGTTACTGTTGAAGCTTTCAAGCTCTTGAGGGTCTTGACAATCGGGAACTTGGAGTAGTAGTCTACTACTAATAGAAACCATTCCTGGTTGAGGTAGAACAGGTCTGCCCCTACTTTCTTCCACGGTCGACTTGGTGTCTCTGTCGGGGTCATCTCTTCTTTCTGTTGGGAGTTCTGGTATTTTTGGCATGTGCGGCAGGTTTGTACCATCTTCTCTATTTCCTTGTACATGCCGACCCAGTATACTGCTGACTTCGCTCGCAGTTTGCATTTCTCTTCTCCCATGTGTCCTTCATGTATGGTTTGTAGGACTTCTTTCTGCAGTGATTTGGGGATGATTATCCTCGATCCTGCTAGTAGTATTCCATTCTCTATCGAGATATCGTCTCTGATGGTCCAATACTCTCGGATGAGTGGCTGTACCTCACTCCTCTTCTCTGGCCAACCTCGAGTGATCGTCTGGGCGAGGGTCTGGAGCTCCTCGTCCTTGCTGGTTTCTTCTTGTATCTGTTCCAGCTTTGTGGTTGTCACATTGACAAGGTGGTGTATCTGGACTTTGAGTCCTGCCATCTCTTCTTTCTCGCTTGGAGATAGCCTTGACAGGGCATCTGCTACCAGCATTTCGTTGCCTGGTTTGTACTTGAGGTGGTAGTCGTACTCCTGTATCCTCAGTAGTAGGCGTTGTAGTCTTGCTGGTGCTTTAGTGAGATTCTTCCTGTCAATCTGCTCTAGCGGCTTGTGGTCGCTCTCGATTGTGAAACGCCTTCCGTATAGGTACGTCTTGAATTTCTCACAACCGTATACTACTGCCAACATCTCTCTCTCGATGTTTGCGTACCTCGACTCTGCAGGTGTGAGTGCTTTGGAGGCGAATGCTATTGGGCGACCCTCTTGTAGTAGCGCTGCGCCTACTCCCTTCATCGAGGCGTCTACCTGTAGAGTGACTGGTTTCTCTCTGTCGTAGTACTGCAGGGTGATGTCTTCACTGATGAGCTGCTTGATTTTGTTGAAGTCTCTGGTGTGGGATGCACACCAGTCGTACTCCACATCTTCTTTGAGTAGCTCACGGATGCTTGCTGTGTGATCTGCAAGTCTTGGAATGAATGAACTCATGTACTGTATGAGCCCTAGGAAGCTCCTTAGCTCCTTCTTGTCCCGAGGTTCTTCCATGTTTGTGATGGCTTCTACTTTCTCGGGGTCTGGTTTCACGCCATCTGCAGAGTAGATCATGCCAAAGAACGTGCACTCGCTTTCTTTGATGGTGCATTTTGCTGCGTTGAGCTTGATGCCAGCTTGTCTGGTCTTTTCCATCGCTTCGTGGAGGTGCAGGTCATGATCTCTCTCTGTTTTGCCGAATACCTGGATGTCGTCTGCAATACCTATTGCTCCTTTGCATCCTCTGTATGTCTCGTCTACCTTCCTCTGGAACACATCTTGACTGACCTTTAATCCGAACGGAAGGCGGTTGAACTTGAATCGTCCGAAGGGTGTGTTAAATGTGGTCAGGAGAGATGACTCTTCGTCTATCTTGATGTTCCAATACCCGTTGCTCGCGTCGAGCTTGCTGAAGATTTTGGCTCCGGCAAGGGATGGTGTTATTTCTTCCAGTGTGGGAGTAGGGTAATGATCTCGTTTGAGTGCGTTGTTCAGGTCTCTCGGATCTAGACATACTCTCAGTTTTCCGTTGGGTTTCTCTTTCACGACTATTGAGTTGACCCAATCAGTTGGTTGTGTGACTTGGCTTATGACTCCTTTCTCGACCATTTCGTTTAACTGCTCTCTTAGCTTCTCTCTGAGCTCTAGGGGAACAC